CTGCCCTGGAAAGGGCAGAAGGCAGCACCCGACGCAACTCTACAAAACGACAAAACGACAGAACACGATACCGTGGCGTACCTTCTTAATAGGCGTTCATTTGTGCGCCCTGTCACCGAGGCCAGAGCAGGTGGGATGAAGATATGCATCGTTGCGCAAATTGAGTTGGGGAGGACGGGATGATACGCCTACCCAATCGCAATCAGTCGGCCAGACAAACTTCAACTTTGCTGTTGAGACTACCAAATTCATGTGTGCGATAACATGGTGGCTCGGTAGCGCAGTGTCAAGCGCTACGTTGGCTCGCCTTGATGGCCGAAAGCCACTCGGCACAAGTTAGTATGTCAATAGAACGAGATGATCTCATACCATACTCTCAATAACAGTGAACAGCAGAGCAGCTGACCACTTTGACGTATCACTAGAGAAAATCATCATAGCGGCAGCTGTCCCCCTGGTTGAAAGCCTGCGACCGACGTTTCGCGCTGGCCGGACATGCGAACCGTACAACAAGGCGCGGCTCCGAGTCGAACTATCGAAATAGATACTATGAGCGATTAAACCCGCACGAAATAGCCAAGAGTAAATCACATATAAACATGTCATATGGGTAGCTGCGAGAAAGTAACACTGGCGTGGCCTGTAATCCAAAGACAGCATCAGCTAACGCCGAATAGCAGCCATTTCGTCGCTCTCTCCACGTATTCACCACGATCGTCGCGCGCATTTCGCCTTCCAACGTCCTCCACCATCCAATCTGCACACCGTCGCCTCTCGACCCGCCACCTCATCTTCGCAGAGCCAAAACCTACACGGCGCGGACACATCAATTCCGAACAACCCCGCCTGATCGCACACGAGCAATCTCAGGGCTATAAGTGGAGTAGGAAGGTGTGGCAATGAGGCAACAAAGACTTCTGATGCTGAAACTTGTGAAGGGAGGTAGGGCGTGTGCCTGAACACTTTTCGGGATGGACAGGGAAAGAAGAGACCAGGACATGACTATGAGGGGCAGCAGCATGCAGAATGAAGGACAACAGATGAGGGAAAGCTACTACCTTGCGTTCAGAATGTTTGGAGAGGGGGGAGGCAGATGGAAGTCTTTGTTCAGAAGGGTAGGAATGGGTATATGATATGGAAATGTGCTGCGAGAAGAAAGCAGGCGTAGGATACACGGCGCCATTGGCGACCGGTCTGGCGAATAGGAAAATAAAGGGAAGATCGAGTGCTTGGCAGAAAAGGGCGAAGATGGGGAACACAGCGGCACAAGGGAATAAGTTTGATGAAAGGAATAAGAGCAAGGCATTACGAAAATAGGAAGTGTGGAAGGCATAGCTGTATGCGGAGGAGTTAAGGGAAGTGGAAACGAGGGGATGAGATGCAGCATGTATTGGAAATGCCATAGAGAGCAAGACGGGATGATGGGCTGGTACGGGGCTGAAGCATGACATATGTAGGTGAGCCAATCGTAGAGTATCACCTTGTCGGACGGCATTACAGCTAGCGATATGCCGTATCGCGAGCTTTGAAATGCGTGCGAACCGTAGCATCAGAATGATGCCGGACACACTTCAGTTTTAGTTACTCGTGCATATTCCAAAGTCATATCACATGGAGCTGTGTGGTACTCCTAAAGCATGGTAAGATGACCACTCGTGCAGACAAGTCGATCTAGCGAGATACGGCAGATACCAAGAATCATGTGCCGTAGGTCGTACCAAGACATCCAGTATGCTTCGCCCATGATATTCCGCTGTCGGTATTCTGTTATGTCGTCTGTATCCACGATGCGGGATTGTCGAGGATGCAGCATCAAGACGAATCGATCGGGAGATAGCGGTGGCGGAACCTCTCTTTGGACATGCATTCTTTTCATGGCGTAGAGATTCGCTAAGAGAGCTCCCGTACCCTTTTCTAACGGGTACGAAAGTTGACTCTCTTTCGCCCATCGTTCAAGACAAGTTTGTCTTGGGGGTCAGGGTGCACTGGAGTGCTTTGAGTTCACCCGGTCTTGAACAACCAAAGCGCGCATGCAGCTGCTACCTAGGTAGCCTGCTGTCATGTCACTTCCGTCGTGCTCGTGAAGTTAAACCAGATTGCAGCAGTCATCTCTTCGAGCTAGACCGTCGTTTCTGCATGTGCTTGAGAGGCACTCGGAGTTCGGGCTCTGAGAGGCCCTGCTATTGCCATCTAGAAAGCGTTCACAATGCTTGCTGCTGCAAACTCATCGCTGGATAGCGTACTGCGTCCGCCTGAGCCCATCTTGTCATCTCGCAGTGACAGTATGCCCTATTGACAGCTGCCATTGACTGTGCTTTCTTCATTTCTTCGTTCAGCTTCTTCTGCAAGACACATTCTCAGTTGTGGTGGCCCATGCGTCATAAAGCTGGTGAGTTCCATGAAGGTGAGACTTATTGACTGTCTTCCACCTCCCCCCACCAACTCCACGACACTCTCAGCCTCTGCAATCTTCGCTGTGTAACATACTTCTCATGTCCTTGGGCCTGTCACATTACTACGCAACTCCTGATTGTATGGTGGTGATAGTTTCGAGCTTGCCGCGGAGCAGACTGATAGCTTCAAGGAGAATTGAACTTTATCCTTTCTCCAGCGATGAGGACGTGACTTTCGAAGGGCTCGAGACATAACACTAATGACCACAACGCACAAGGTATATACTGGCTCCGCCCCTGGTTGATCTTTGGCTATTTCGCCGCCTTCGTAAGGCTCGGGTTGGAGGTAGCTGCTCAACTCAAAGCGCTCGCTCGTCGCCACTGTCCTGTACAATAAAGCCGGTGGTGTCTGACCATTGCTGACGACACTACTTGTACAGGCCATCGTGGCGCCGAAGTTACTTGCCTAAGTCTAGCACCAACACACTTGACACCATGACTCTGCAATAGTCGTGGCGACATTTCTGGCCATGACAACAAGTCTTGTCCTCCCCCACTTATCGGGAAGACCAATAGCTGATATACCAGTACAGGCAATCATTCCCTGCCCTACCATGTTGACTGCACTTTCGAGCGGACACAGTCGATGTCGGTAAGACCCCGCTCTACGTACCCATCGAACGACACATTCGACTTCGACGAATATCTTCTCAATTCCGGATTGCACAATCCAGTTGTTCAGCTTGGGGTGCTTCGAAGTTGTTCTACGATCAGTCGCCAAGCTCTACGAGGCCCGATCCTTCGGTACGGTATAAGAGTTTCGACGCACTCTGCTCTTTCCCACGAGTCTTTCCGGAGCCATCAGAAGATAAACACAGCTCTCCTGATGAGTCTGACAACCCTCAGTCAGCAGCCACGTACAACGGCTGAGGCGGTAGAGGCTTCAGCTAGTGGCGTAGCTAGATACTCTAGAGACAGGCTGCCTCATCGATCGAGAGCACATTATGGTGTTCCATCGGGCTCGGCATTTCCAACGCTCAATCGCATCTCTCTTCCATTGTACAGGCCAGGCGTTCAGTCGGCGTCTTACATGTCGAAGACTCATTCGGTGAGTCCTGCATGCAGCGCCGCCTGCATCTTACTCTCTTTTGCAGCATCGTGCTGACGGATGAAGTGGACCACGCATGAATCAACAACATAGTTGTCGAAGTGTGGACAGCCTGACCGTGGCATGACCCAAACACAGCTTGATAAAGACGTTTTGAGAGTCTAAAAGCTGATTGCAAATCGGTAAAACAAAATCCCTGACCACTTTTTTGTGGGCGTATATACTTCAAGGGTCGCTTGACATAGTCCAGGTTACCCATTCAGCATGCCTGCATCGCCAGACCCTTTATTTGTTCGGTACTGCCTAGCAACGGCGACTATTGTGCTTGTATTTGGTGAGATGATGTGCGTGCGAAGGTTGATTACGGCTGACGTCTCGCGATACAGCCCAAGATGGTACTGCTGTGGTTCGGCTCTGCTACTACCGATTATTGGTTCCCACCATGTCGCCAGCATGTTGATCGAGAGACGCAAGAATACTACCATGACTGTTGGCTTGAGGAAATCGGTCCTGTGTTCTTCTCCCTGTGAGGTGATGCAATAATGTCTCCGTCGTTCACTCTTTTCGACGAGGGTTAGGGCAAAGGACCAGCGGCAGCCCCAAAGGCAGGTAGCAAAAATACGTCGCTGCTGCTGGAGATACTCAACAAGAGCCTGAAATCTGTCAGCTTGGTGTGCACCGGAGAGATGGTACATCGTCTCTGGTTGGGTGATAGACCCATGAGTAGAGTAGGGCAGCGGCAGAGGCAAGCCGAGGGAGCGGCGGCGAAGCTCAACAACCTCGTTATTTGCCATGGAAAGTACTTGCTGAAGTCGGTGGGAACCTTCTCGCACATCTCCAAGCCTCGCGAGAAGATGCAAACGCACAAGGCTTGGTGGCTGGGGTCTTGCAGAGATAAATCCGCATGTCCAAGACCTCAATCACCCCACCAGGAGCGGCGAAAGGTACAGGAGTCGGCTGAGCAGGGTCTGGAAGCCATTTCGAAGCCCGGCAGTCGCTCTCTACAGCTTCGGGTGATGAGGGGTCGAGGGTGGCTGGCTACCATGAGTCGGGGAAGACGTCCACTGAGGCAAGGTTGAAGCTGTATGCGCCTGGAGAGCAGCTCATTGAATCGATAGCGAAGATCAGAGAGCTTGTATGAACCTCCAACAAATATTGCAGCCCGATTGCAGGACGTTGGTGTTGGTGCTTCATTAATGGAGGGGCAATAGGTCAGGACTTGGTGATGGAGACTTTGGTGTTGCAGCAATGAACTTCATTTGGTCGTACGACCGTGCATTGTTCAGATCACCGCCTCGCGCCACTCGGTACTACACCTTCCCAAGCTACAACTACTCGAGCTGAGTCTATGGATTGCCCCTCTGCAATTGCCCACATTGGCTGCCTGGAGGCTCTTTCCTCGCCTCACTATGGCAGGCAATACCTACGATGTGGTGATATTGAGCTCCAGTCCGCCGGCCGCTTCCCCGCAATATGAAGCCCCCTCTCGTCGCGTTGCCATGCTTGTATCCTCGCCTCTATCATTCTCTCCTCCGGAAAGCCCGCTGAGACCAACAATCGACGCGTCGAGGAATAGCGCAAGGGCAGCTCCCATCCCCGAGGGTGCTGTTAGAGGGTTTGCCACCGTTGGCAGTCTCGTACGCTCTGAGCACTTCACAAGCCGTCTTGACGACGACTTCGATGCGATACAAGGAGCACAGTCACGACGGATGCCGCAGGCTACCATAGAGTCTGAATCGGTTGTGGAAAAGCCCACGAGGCGGTCTACAAAGAAGACTGCTACTACCACTGCTACGGAAGGGTCCGAGAAGCCCAAACCGAAGCCTCGAGCGCGCAAACCAAAACCCAAGTCAGACAAAGAAATCCTCGACTCGGACGATGAGCTCCGATGCCCGCCGGAACGACCTACCAAGTCCCCTTTCTTCGACGAGAATACGTTGGAACCTCCGGCCGAGGCTGCGGTTGAAGCCGCGAATGCGCCTAAGCTGACCAAGTCGGGTAAGCCTCGGAAGCCGCGTGCAAAGAAGCAGAAGCCTGGAGAAGAAGGAGCAGAGTCCGCGCCAAAGCCTAAGAAACCGAGAGTCACAAAAGCGAAAGCTGGGGCAGGCAAAGATGCGTCGCTCGTGTCTGCACATTTCCCCGAGGAAGCAGACAAAGGCGAAAGCTCGGGAACACGCCCCTCGATACAGGTTCAAGACACACACGCAGAGTATCCATCCATCTGGGAGGTGCGTGAAAGCCCACGGCTGAAGAAGAAGGCTGCGCCGAGGCAGCGTCAGCCAGATCCCATTGCAGAAGGGCTGGACTTGGAGGAGGCTGTCGTCAGGAGACGAGATTGGACGCCGCCACCTGACACGACAGTTCCATCGCCGTTCACAGACTCAGCCGGAAAGGAGAACAGGACACTGGCGCAGAACGATGATGGTACCTTCACAAACCTACTCTCCAACTTTGCTTATGCACAGTCACCATCTGCTCAAGTCACCGTAAAGTCGACCAGCGCAGACACGGAGGTAGTAGCGGCGACTAAGCGCCGGAGAACTGAGGTAAGTCTGCTTGTATGGACACGTAGCATGGAACACTCCTTCTGACCATTATCGGCAGCTCGTTGAAATACCTAGCAACCAAGCCAACCCTAGAGACTCATCACCTGAGAAGGGCAAAGCCCCAAAGAAGAAACCACGCACTATCACAGATCTTGTCACGGAACAGTATGCATTAAAGGATGCAGAGCCGAATCCGAACGATTCAAGCAGTAACTTCTTTGATTCTCGGGCTTCAACAACTACAACAAAAGTGCCGTTGAATGATACATCTACACCCGATGGCAAAGCGGTACCAAAGAAGCCAGCAAGGAGGCGCAATAGCTCCAAATCAGGTACAGAGAAAGAAAAGGCCGACCCTAAGCCAAGATCAAGGAAAGCATCTGCGAGAGCTGCCGCTAAGCCAAAGCCTGTTGCAGAAAAGTTACTCAGCCCTTCTTCTGCAACGTCGCGTCTACAGCAGCAAGATGTCCTGTTCGGAACATCAAGTCAACTTGCGCTCGAAGAGTCGCCCACCATGGTACGACAGATCCAGTTCGCAATGAAGGAGTCGGAGCGAGATGCCGATAATCTTGATCTTGTTGCATGTGGTGCGCCGTCGCGCTGGCCACGGCTCGGCAGCGCTGAAGGCAAACGGGGGCTCTGGGCTGCGAGTGCACGAGACGGCGAAGGCGGCATGCTTGAACACCTGAAAGACATTTATATACCAGAGCCAGATAGGACACAAGATATTCCCTTGCTTATGGACAGCACCAACGACATGCCTGGTGGAGAGTTTGATGATCAATCCACGTTCATAGACATCGACGACATACTGTCAGACCCTCCTCTGACAATCCCTGTATCTTCCAACTCGCCAACGCCACTTGACGCCACTTCCCATGCCTTGCCATCTCAAGAATATCGTCAAAATAATACCCAGAGGAAAGATACAGGCTTCGAAGACATCGACAACTTCACGCAAGAGCCACCACCTTCGAACCAAAACGCTGTGTCACCGAACAGCTTTGTCGACATCGATGACTTCGATTTTCCACCCTCTGCGCAGATGCGGAAATCACCCGTCCTGAAGTTTAGACCTCCGGCTTCAGCACCTCCAACCATGGACGGCTCGCCGAAGAAGCGTGGTAGGCTACTGAAGTCACACCCTGCGATCTCTAAATCAATCTCTACATCCTCTTCACCAGTGTTGAAGTCCTTACCTCCAAAGATCAGGGCAAAGGCAAAGACTGGTCACAAGGTACCTACAACTCCACCAAGGGGGTCAGGCCGCTTTGTCGATATTGAAGAAATCCTTGATTCTGAAGATGAAGCTCTTCAAGTACTATCACCTACACCACCTCGAATACGGAAACATGTCGATTCTGAACCTCTATCTTTGATTACCCTTTCACCCACCACATCGCCTAACAAGGCCCAAAAAGCCACCAATGTCAGGGCTAAATTGTTAGCTGCTGACCCAGCTTTGACGCCTATACATCGCATATCAAACAACCTACTAGAATGGGTCCACATTAAGCCCAGCGTTTTCTCCCAGATATCAGCGCATATCCGCTCGCTGCCTCCAACCATAGATCCCAAATATCCTAGCTGGCACGAGAAGATCCTCATGTATGATCCTATTGTTCTTGAAGAGTTTACCGCGTATTTGAACGCCAACACGTCGATACGCGTGTTCAAGAGAGCGACACAAAAACAGATCAAAGCCTGGAACTCGGACTTGAAGCGTAGGGGCGAAGCGCCGGTGAGTGTGGAGAAAGACGCCGAGGACGTGCTTGCAGTAGAGAAAGAGCTAGAAGGGTACATGGGGCAAGGGTGGTGCGAGAGTCTGAGTATCTGCTGTATCTGGGGAGAAGGGCGGGGTAAAGGTGGGGCGCGGAAGGGTTTCTACTGATCTTGCTGTATGACTGAGAGTAGATGAAGCACTGACGCTGTTAGAAATAGTTCGATACTGCGCGCATACCAGATAAGCCTTTGCATATCCTGGGAGCCGTTCCCTCGGATCAAAGAGTGAGGCCTTCACTCTCCTGATTCTTGTATCTCGAGTGCAGTATGCCAGTCGACTAGATGCGAGAGTACGAAGTTAGTTTATGTCTCATGTGCAGTTCGTATAGGGCCGCTTACGATGTTCAAGCACTTGGGTAGCCTGTATGCTCTGACTGCACTTTGGACAATCGTACGAAAAGACGTTCTCGGCTTGTAAGTCATGCAAATCGGTATGCAGTGATCTCACCCCATCTTTTTTAGAAGATGCAGAGGCTGACTTCGTTTCTTCCAATGACGTTTCGTGGCCGCCTTCCGTACGAATCTTTTTTGGCTCTTGCCGTTCTTTTTCATCATCCTCATAAACATCGCGCAGGCGCTTCGTATTGGTGGAGTCTGTAGTGAAGAACGAAGTGATGCGATGATTCCGTGTGACAAGTGGCTGAAATCCGGATATGCTTACAGACAGACACGCGCAAGGCCACGCTATACCTTCATCGCAAATCTGACGAAGTAAGGATTTCGACCAAGTAAAAATGGCCATCTCATCAACCTTACTACCCGACGGTATTGTGGCTTGTTTCGATCGCGTAGGGCCAAAGCGGCCATTAATGTGATGGTGCAGGGTAACGACAGTTGGTTGACGAGGATACTCGCTCTGAAGCTCATTCAAGCGGCCCATCAGGTCCGCAGCGAATATGCGAAGCCACTTCATAGCTTGCTCGAAGCTTCCCACGCTTGGAACGAAGGTTTTTGCTGACAGCATTGACTGGACTACAAGTCGTGACGTCACAATACTGGTTTCTCTGCCGCGAACAACGTTGTACAGCCAGTAGCCGGACTCCTTGCCTAATTTTGCTTCCAAGTTTTCGATTGGTATGCGAAGAATATCATCCACGCGGTCAGAGCCAAACGCATCTACGACTTGTTGGCCGAGCTTTCCTCCCAGCCCACGTATCTTGGTGAGCTTGACGATTTGATTTGCTAGAAAATTGCATGTTGCTTGCGTCGGGATCACAGTTTGCCGATTAGGTTTCTTGAAACCAGCACCAAGTTTAGCCACAACCTTGTTGTGTGCAATGCCTGCGGAGCAAGTATACCCTGAATGGGTCAAGACTTCAGCTCGAATACGACGAATGATGCTGGCTCCGATATTGAGGGCAATGTCGTCCCAATCAGGCCTCGGATCAGCCTTTTCAATATCCACAACGTGATCGTCCTCCCAATCCAAAAGTGAAGAGAAACTGGGTAAGGGGAGATATTGTTCCAAGTCGTCAGGTTGCTCTGCAAGCTCCGGAAACTGCCGAAGCATAATCTGATGAACCTGAGCCGACAAATCCAGGAACACCTCATCTATACTAGCTTTCTCGACTTTCTGAACAGGCTCCTCTGGCAACAGGCTGCGAATGAATTCAAAACACTTGCGCGATCGAAGGCGATATGAATCCAGGGCTGACTTGTCAGTCGCCATATGTTTTGTAACATCTGGCCGGTATGCCCATGTTGTCTCGCCTTCTCTCCACGTTGCGACGTGTTGTAAGACAATGTCCGGACAGAGTCTCCGGGCTTCGTCTATCGATGCACCCCTTTTGAGTCCAGACTCACGTGCAGGATAGTTGAGCGCGATTATAGCATTCCACTGTTGTACGGCCAACGGTGTTGAGGACGGTAGACCCAATCTAACAATCTCGCATTGCGCATAGAAAGCGTCGAAGTCGATTAAGGCGATGACGCGAAGCGGCGATGTGGGAGAGAACTTCTTTAGTTCGTCAAGGTCACGATGGGTGTATTGTGAAGTGTCCATCGTTCATCTGCAACTGGACGTCAGCGATAAATGACATACGACATGCTCCTTTCCGCAGAATCTCCCAACATGTACTCACTAACAAGCGTCTTTATTAGGAATGGCGCGACGCGAAAACCCAAAAGGTATGGAAATCATCTCGCCTATCAAATCACAACTTTGTTGGCCAGCGCGAAATAAAGCTCAGACAGAAATCTGAACTGAAGACGCTTACGCTGCTTCGGCATGACGCGATGCTGCTCAAGGCCTCGCGTTTGTATTTAGACAGCTTTCTAAGGCCAGCAATGAACCCACTTGCAGACTCAAGTTCGCTGCATACAGCGGAGGCGTGGAGGAAATAGTATCTCTGCCCAGGAAGTAGCGATTGCTGCCTATGCGCTTCGTGTAAGACTTCATCTTTCCGTGGTTCGCTCGGAAGCCGTGAAAGCCGGCGAGGCTTTGATGATTCATCTTTCTTGTCGCACCTGCAGGGTACCGGGCATTTCGACATGCAACCTATCGGCCCGCACACGATCGATCGGCAGCTAATAAATTCACTTGCGACCGCTGCAGCGGAATAAAACCCACGTTCCCCTTGGGTTCACTGGCGAGAGCGGACTCGCAGCACATGCCGTCCCCACGCACATCGACCGTTTCCGGCAAGCACCGCTGCACCATATGCAACAAGACGTACTCGACCAATAGCCATCTGCGTCGCCATGAAGCCACACGTGAGCATTTCCCACACAAGCAATCCTTCGCGGCTCACACGCGTCAGATTATGGCAGACAGGACTTGACATGTCCCTCGTGCCAGGCACAATTTTCAAGGAGGTGTGTTCGTCTTGCTTTGATTCCGCTATCGATACGAGCTGACGCATGTACAGAGACCTCGCTCGGCGTCACATGCAGAACTGTTCTGCCCGGAACCATGAAATCATTCTGCCTACCCTAAAGCGTGGTAGAAAGCGCCACTCCTGCGACAGGTGTTCAAAGCGGAAGTTGTCATGCGATACCAAGGTGCCGTGTGCGCGCTGCTGCTCTGGTGGCGCGGTATGTACCTATGAACGAGTAAACCATGCCTCTTCACCTGCCACTCCACGCTCCGACGTCGATACGCGCTCTAGCCACAGCCAGGCCGGTGATGCAGGACCTACTTCCAATGAGCAGCGTGGAGGCATCTCTATTGAATTTCTTCTCAACTTCACGAACCCATCAGGCTACCGTCCATCCGCAGTAATCGCCGCTGAAGCTGCCGAGCTCGATGATGTAGACGGTGAAGCGCGCGCTCAGCTAGATCCAACAGACCAGCAAATGGCCAATGACCCAATGTTCTTCGATTTCGCCGATGTTCCTTCGGTCTTCTTCGGCTTTCCGTTCCTCATGGGAAGGGACGCTGAGTACCCATCTCCAATGATAAGCGATAGTCTAACGCCTGAGCTCGAGGATGCCTACGCGCTGGAAGTTCGTATCAGAGAACTGATACACGAACTCTCCGCTCAGTATAGCTCCATGCTGGAACGCAATGATGCCATTCAAATGGCTTTTGACCTCCAGTTCGCAGAGTCAGTCTTCACGGTAGGAAACGTAAGACACTTTGTTTGGGCTTACTTTCGCTATTTTCACTTCTCATTTCCCATCTTGCACAAGCCAACGTTCGACTTGCAGACGGCATCACTTCCTCTCTTGCTCACACTTATTCTGTTCGGCTCCATGTCTTCCAACGACTCGGATTCTTCCATCGCAGTACGACGGTTCTCATATATGGCGGAGGCTTACGTTTTTGACAAGCTGATTTCGCGGCAAAAATTGCAGACGCCTCAATCAGCATTCGTTAATAACGAAGAGTTTGAACTAATACAGGCGAGCCTTTTGTTCCTGGTCTTTTTGAACAACGTCAACGACCTCGCTACACGACGGCGAATTCGACTCCAGAGGATGCCGTCAGTAAATGCCGCTGTGCGAGCATCAGGCTTGTTCGCACATCGACGAAGACCCTTTATCACGGCCCAAGGTACATATGATTGGCAGGGTTTCATTGCCGATGAGATGCGATTAAGGTACTAGAAGCTGACACATCTTCCGTGTTCGTGGCCGCTAACAATAGCTGCAGAGTGGGGACGTGGACTTGCATATTCGAGACCACTATATCAATCTTCTTCAACACCCCACCACAGATTGCTACAGCTGAGATGACTGGTAGTATGCCATGTGATGAGGATCTATTCAGAGCCGAATCAGCCGCGGACTTTGAGCGGGTGGCCTCACTTGGACGACCAAACCAACAGGCTTATACACTACCCGAACTCATGTCACGCCTTCTCCTCGCACCTCCTAAGGAGAACGAAAATAAGGGGAATCATGTCTCAGCAACAGTAATGTTAATGCTCATTTGCGGTTTGTCATTGCTTTACCTCGACTATGAAGTTACGACTGACCATCCACAGCGTTAATGTCTGCCGTCATGTCTGCCAGAATGAATCTTCTAGTTTCTATGGCTATAGAGCCTATGCTTCGCGCGACCGATCGATGGAAGCGTCTGTGGGACTCTACGTGCCACGACAGCGAAGGTAGATTGTTGCCACACATCGGGTGGGAGAAGCACGCTGCAGAATACTGGTGGCTCACAAGGACGATGTTGAGGGTCATACAATCAGGAGACCAGAGCTGTCGGTATCTACAGCTTGTCCCTTGTGACTCGGGGCAAATCTTGCATGATTTTATTCGCAAATACAAAGACTTCGCGGGATAGATACCACATTTTATAATTCACTTCAGGCTATAACATGCCTAGCGCAAGAACATTGAGCTGCCTCGTGATAATGTAGGCAAGAATACTTCTTCGTTACACCCATGGTTCTTGATCACATCCACCCCCAGGAAGTCAGTAATGACGTGGCGACATAGTCTCATCTATGCGGCGGCGATTACATCCTTATGCAGCAGGCACAACATCAACAAGCGCAAACCCATTCTTCTGTCCAAAGAACCGTCCTTTCACAGACGCGAAGGCCGAGACCGCGAACAGCCCCTCCGCTGGAATTTCCTGGTCTTTCCTCACACTAGTGACTTCCAGGAAATCGCCGTTGTCAAAGTCGAGGAACCACTTGGTTTGGTATGTAATGTTGGTCGTTGGCGATGTCCATACCTCGTTCGGATCGGCAGTCGCATTGAATCGTACGATTGATAAGCCGTAGTTTGTACGAACAGTCGCAAAGCGGAGACGCTGCTCGGGATCCTCGTTGTCGGAGTGCCAGATGCTAGCTTTAACATTCGAGCCAGGAAACTGGATCCCAAACCAGGTGAATCCACCGTCGGGGCCACTACCACCGTATTGTCGATCGTACCACGTCATTGAGCGTTCCCCGTTAACCTGGTACAGCGAGTCGCCGATAGACAACGTGCCCGAAGTTTGGCCACTTGGGAGTGACCATTGCGTGGTGTTACTTTTCCCCCAGTTGAAGAATCCTGTTCCGGCGTTCAAAATCACCCTTGAGCTCGCTTTGACTGTCAAGTTGTACTTGTAGTGGTCGGTTGAACCACCTGAAACCATGCTTGCAAGATTATCGTCTGAATTGCTCGACAGCTCAAATCCTTTTCCCTTAATGCTCAGTCGGCCATTCATTAATGTGGTGTTCCCTTGAAGAGGAACTGTGCTTGAACTCTGCCAGTAAATCTCCGGGTTCCCAACGTCGAGCAAAGAGGTTCTGATGGTGATCTCGTTGGTAGGAAGTACGACGGCCTGAGCTAGAAGTACATATTCGGTATCGTTGCCCGTGGTAAGAAAGTGAGAAAACCAGTAGGAGTTGAAGCCTTCGGCAGCAAGCTGGGTGTCAGGTAATGAGAGTTGCGTTGGCAGATTATTCTGGCAGGTGATGTAAGTGTTCATGTTCATGGTACTTCTAGAGGATAGGAGGAACATTACATCGTATATTGTTGGTGAATTATCTGGAGAAAAATCATAGAGAGCACAGCTCGTTGCTGTGAGTATAGACAGGAGTAGAGGAGCTCGAGTCATGGTTATCGAGGTGCACCCGACTGGATATCAAATGAGTGGTATACTTCTTATAGTAGTGATAGCATCCCATGCCGCCAGCGCTTTTGAAGTGTTTTATATAAGAGTAATCTCTTTGATTACTCAAGGGGGTATCCGGTATGTCCGTAGACCGGATGCTGATCATTCCTTGTCCTATTTCTTTTGAAGGATACAGTAGCCGAGCTGCGGGTCCGGCCGGTGCATCTTGTCTCTGCCTCGACACAATGATTAGAAAACTAGAATCATTCTTGTAGCCTCATATAGCACACGGACCATCGAGCAATGGGATCGACGTTTTGGAACGACGGCGTTAGGGTTGATGGGATCGACCTGTGGGGCATAGGCTAAATGTTGGGTTCTTTGCCGAAATGTGGTTGGGTTCATTACCGAAACGTCGCTGCGGCACGTTCACAGCTCGCGGATCTAGATGCCAGCGCCCGCGAAATCCGACTCTTACATGAGCTCCGTTAGTGAGTCCCTCTACCAAAGGCATATGGCCCAGACTTTGCTATGGATGACAACATCAGCGTGTTGATTAGTGTTTACATATAATGATGTGTCTGCCGCGGTCCTTCTCATGTGGGCCCATCCACGCCGTGACCTGAAAGATTCGCGACTGTCTTCAGCCCTTACTCTATAAAATGGTGTTGCGACGATCGGCGCGGGCGGCTACACGTACGGCTCAGCAGGCAGCAAACAGTGCAGCAAAAAGGAGGTACTCCAATTCCTCGACCAGTGAGGAGACCCTTAGCAAGCGCGTTAAAAGTCAAGCTGCAAGTCGTTCTGCAAAAAGAGTCGGTACAGCGCAGGATTGGGGGCAAAAGAGGAACGAAGACGAACACACCAGAACTAGCAAGAGTGATGGTACCAAGGCAGACGATGAAGCCGTGGCGGAGAAGAAGTGGAAGTCATGGTCAGCCCACGCAACGACGACGCCGTACCCTGATTTCGGCCATCCTGCACACCGCGAATGCCAGGTAGCATACGATGTGCTGCACAAACTGCATAACGACGCTGTAGAGGCTGAGATAGACGAGCACACACCTGAAACAATACCGTTCGTTCTAGATGCCATGATTGTCGCAGTCCTCAGCCAAGCGACGAGTTGGAACAACGCAAAACGCGCCATGGATAGCATGAAGGAAATGTACGGCTCGGTATTTGCATACGAAAAGATACATGCTGGTGGACCAGACAAATTACAAGAGACTATTCGCTGCGGCGGACTCCACATCAGGAAGACCAAGATCATCATGTCCATCTTGGATGAAGTCAAGCGACGATACGGGCGCTGGAATTTAGACCATCTCCTGGAAGCAAGTGACGAAGATGCCATGAAAGAGCTGATGAGCTACAAGTACATTGGCTCAAAGTCTGCTTTTGTCGTCATGGGCTGGTGTTTGAAGAGAAAACGGTTCACCGTGGATACGCATGTCTATCGCATAGCTGGCTTGTGGGGCTGGAGACCGAAGGACGCCACTCGTGAGAACACACAACTACACTTGGATGCGGTAATCCCAGCCAACCTTAAGATTAAACTCCACTTCTTCCTTATACAGCACGGACGGACCTGTCCTGCCTGCCGCGGTGGAAGCAAAGATACCACGGGCTGCGAGGCGCACACGGAAATAAGAAAGCAGCTCAAGCAAAGATCGTAGAATTGCAGTATCCCATGCTTGTATAGTAATACACCTTGTACTGTATGTCCTTTTGCAAAATGAACCAATTTAAAGCAAAGGAACGTAGTCAAGACTTTATGTCGCTGTTGCGAACGCGAATCACCGAGCGCGTCAACCCAAGAAGTTAAGACGCCGGTGAGCAGATACGAGAGAATGGGAGTAGGCGACACGATTGTGATGAGAGAATGGTAGCCGAAGGTACAGAGAATTATATTCTATAGAGGAAAAGTGATGTAGCAGTCACGAAGTTATGATATGAACGATCGAATCAAATGATTCGCACCTCAACACCTCCTAGCTATTGTATGACTGATTAGGAGTCTGCGGCCACCAACTTGAAGCCAAGCAAGGATGACCGTCTATCTCTCTGGATGTACTCTCGACATCCACATGTGGTTGGCGTGGCATGCGCGAAAAAGCCGAGGCTTTGTGCGTGCTGTCCAGCAACACTGTCGAGGTTTTCGGTGTCTCAGGCCACCACCCAGAAGTCGAGCATAAGTTCCTTCCGATGCTGTGAATGAAGTCCACAGGTCTAGTATTCCAGCTCGGAGCTAAGCAAGCATTTTTATGCTTGTTGTCAAAGGTTACGTTATGTCTCGTGCCTTCATTCTCACTGACCCTAAGCGGCAACTCTTGTACGCCTAGATATTTTCTTTGCCATTCTTGACCTGTAGCTCCTGGATGGGGCATTCGCGTTTTAGGCGGAGGCTCGGTGTTGACATCGATCTTCTCTGTGTAGCTTCCTGTTTTGTTTTCGTAATCCAACTTCATGACCATTTCACCGTCTTCGGCTTCGAAACGCACGCGTACAGGAAGCCAATCCGGGATCTTTTCTCCAGCCATAGTATCGAGGGCTTCCAGAAGGGGTTGTTCATCGACGACAGAGACGTCCCACTGGATGTGTATCAAGTTACATTGACCTATGACCCAGGCCTTCATACGTTCTGCACGTGATAACTCCTTCGCAATCTCGGGGTGGATGTCTGGCGAACTGGATCGTGATCGCTGAGTAGAAATTCCTCTTATTGTACGGTGCCATGGACCAATCGTCATCTGAAGCGGCGTGTGCAAGCGTAGTGTTACAAGCGGTAAATCTTGAGAAACAGAAGCGGCCCATCTCAAGGACTTTGCAATGTGTATTGCGCTGTCTACGTCGATGATTCGTAGTTGTTGAGGTGATGGAAGCAGCGATGACTCTGCCTCGATGGGGAAGTGTCGATACAGCGTGTCCGCAAGACCGCAAAGCACTGTCTGCAACATCCAGTATCTTGTGCAAAGGATCATACTTCGCACGGAACTGAATTCTAGCGTATCCGGCATTAGGTCAGCGACATCTGGTGATGGCGGTATGGGTACTGCAGAGACTGATGTTTGCATCAGTTCAGATACGTGTTGCGAGATATCGATTTGTATCAGACGCTCCATGTGCGACATGGCGGTCGCAAGGGCATTGGCATCGTCAGGGTTCGAGATAGCGTGCCGAACTAAGGACACTGCGTAGGGGCACTGAATGAAGACGTGCATGATGGCCATCGATGCTCTTTGCGATGGTGACAGTATTATCACGTCTGAATCGATCGGTGGAGGGTATGTCGCTGATAGATAGAATTCGTTATGGTATACTGACGTTCGGCCTGCCAATATCGCCTCGTTTACCTGCTAACATTAGCACCGAATGTCAAAGATCAGAGCGACACTCACGTCATCAATATAAGTGTTATCGATCAGATCCCAGAAATGCTCGTCATCAACATCCGACACAGATCCTGACCTCAGCAGTTCGGCGAGGCCAAACGCATGTATGGCGTGGTACATAGTATCCAGCCCCAAAAGAGCCTAGGGGGTTGTCAGTGAAATTCTAAAGCTCTCAATATGCAAGCTTACTTCCGCAGCGTAGTGCAGTTTTGTTGCTAACAAGACATCGTACGTTGTATTAGTGTTAGTGCTCATTACAACGAGCTGCAGTTCCTTCAGTGCTTTGGCTTTCGACGCTTTAGCGACCTTGCGCCTCGAGTGTGTATCATCTCGAAACGTCCCATAGCTGTCGACTAGAAACTCAACAGCAAGGTCTAACATCTTGCTCGAGCCGATGCGCGAAGGTATCGACTGTATCCAGGTTCCCAGTATCTCAAAAGGTTGCCTTCCTATAGGGTCCGGTCCCAACATGCCAACATATCGTGCGATCAACGTCGTCTCAGGAGAGGATGGCTGGTGAGCTACGAGTGTGTTCTCTTCGCTTAGTTTCCAGAGGTAAGCCTCAAGCGCACGTTGCTGTTTGTTTGTTTTCTTTTTCGACAGATGGCTTCTATACTTCGAGCGTGGCGCCAGGGTCTGGAAGTAACCTTGTCCATCCTCGGCGCGCCTTTCTGTTGTAACACATAGATTTGGAGGCGTTGTTGAAGGCGATGTGAACTCTTCATCAGAAGGAGCCAGCGAATATGTGATGGGTGTGGTTCTTGATTTTCCATGTTTGGTCAGCTGGTTTGGGTCCTGCACCACAAACGCCGAAGCTTTTCCGTAGGAATAGGTGCATGGTCGGTCTTTCTTCTTGCATGAGCTACATTTGGGTCGCTCCTCATCACACTATGCGACTATTAGCACAATCTTCATTCCATTCCAGATGGTTTGCTATGCTTCGCGGTGCTTTATGTTGCTCTCTGTCAACGGCGGGTGCTTTACCTTGACTTTCCGCTGACGACACGTGTCGCATTTTCCAGTTTGTGTCATAAGAAATGTGTTCAGTCTATTAGCGTTGTCAGAGCCTCCTCCAGAGATCCTAGATGCGCTAGACTTTTGTGCTGGATGTACGACAAAAGGGTGCCTGCAGAACGTGGCTGCCTGGTTGACGATCGAGTCAGATGCGGATATACTTCCACAGTAGGAAATACAGTCGATCAAAGTTCATGAACCGGGAGTATACATAATCCGAGAATATACATAACTATTCGGGCAGTACTCTGAAATGGAATCGCGAATGTTGATGGTATGGAGGGCGCCATCTGTACACCGCGAGTGGCGAAGATCCGGGCTGAATCAGCGTAGCCAGATGTAGTTAGCCTCTCATAGTCCGCCGAAGATACCCTCCCACCAGACCGTCTTCCACAGCTCTCTCTTCCAGGATATAGCCCCCAGAATGCCTGCATCGGTATGCGAGACTGGGATATCTGATTGCATTGTTTCTACCAACTTTCACTCGACACTTCACCATTTTGAGCCTTGTCAAACATAATGAAATTGTGCCTGCGTGGGAGGCATATCTCGTTTATACTGTCTTTACCTTCTCAGCTCAGGAAGTGTGCTTGTATTATAGAAGACCTCATAATACCTTAGGTTCAATAACACAAGATAATAGTACAGGCAGAGAGAATTCATGAGCTATGGTTAATCAGAGCGCTGCCAACGCTTTAAGCGTCTGAGCCACGCGATCACGTTTACGCTATGATAGGGATCAGTTCCAACTACCAGATGGAGCTCTCGAATCGTAGTACGGCGAGTCACTGCCAGACGTATATATTGGAACATCCGTATCGTGATTGGGTTGCAGCTGTTCAGAATTGCAAAGAGGTTTGACGTTCTACCTTTAGACCCTTCACGCAGTCTCCCTTCCGATGCCTGCCTTGTACCGTGCCAGACACCTCTCTCTAGCAAATTTATGCTCAACTACTGGCTCAGGGTAGCCTTTCGACTTTGCGGCTTGTGCCGCCTTCCCACCCGCACCATAAGGGTTATGTATGGCCGGCCCCTCTATCTCTTCAAGTTCTGGAACCCATAATTTGATGAACTCTCCCTCCTCGTCAAACCTCTCGGACTGCGTCCATGGGTTGAAGATTCGAAAGTATGGTTGGGGATCTACGCCAGTTGATGCACTGAAGCCCCAGCCGCCATTGTTCGACGAGAAGTCGCCATCAACGAGATGTGTGAGAAAGTATTGTTCACCAAGACGCCAGTCCAGCAGAAGGTGTTTTGCAAGGAAGGAAGCTGCGATCATGCGAAGGCGGTTGTGCATGTAGCCGGTGTGATTCATGCAACGCATTGCTGCGTCAACGATTGGGTAGCCTGTGCGGCCTTGAGTCCAAGCCTGGAAGTGGGCGTCATTGTATTCCCATTCAATGTTCGTGTATTCGAACTTGAAGGGCTTGTTCATGCTGAGGAAACTGTTAGTTTCGCTGTAACACCAAGAATGAGATGCAAACTATACCAGACGTATGGCCAGTGTACAAGCACATGTCGATAAAAATCACGCCATGCAACTTCTCCAATCCAACCTTTGACACCATCCTTCCCACCATCGAGCTTTTTCGCGCTATTGACATCTCTTGCCATACGTACACTGGTTCGGGCTGCTAGCGTGCCAGCGGCGTGATGTACGCTCACGCGTCCTGTGCTGTTCTTCGCGGGGAAGTTACGTGTATCCTTGTATTTGCCGATCTTTTCGATCAAAAAGCGTTCTAGGCGGTCAATGGCGGCGGCCTCGCCTGCGGGCCACAGGTGGTGGAAGCGTTCTTTTTCTTCTTGTGTCAACGACTTGCAATCGGGGAGGTCGGGGACTTTCGAGTCAAAGAGCTGGGTGAACTTTTGGCGGAAATTTGGAGAATTACGTTCAGGTATCGGTCGCTCATTCAAGAGATGCGGGTGCGCGTGTAGATACGCAACCCATGCCCGATACCAGGGGCTGTACACGGCGTATTGTTTCCCACCTCCTGTCTTGAGACTTCCTGGCGGCACAACACAATCATCGTGTTGTGGGTCGAAGTTGATACCTTTCTCCAGCATCTTACGTACTAAACGCTCTTCTCGCCGCAGCTCGTCGGGTTCATATTCCAGGTTGCAAAATACGTTCTTTGCATTCCAGCTCTCAGCCAGCTCCACCAGTCGCCTTGTCACGTTCTTCCTCTCCGCAATTGTCTCAACATATAGCGGAATGTCGAACTCTTCGAGCTCCTGTTTCAGTGACTCGACCGAACGCAGTTCGAAATCACACTTGGGTGGGCTGACCAGATGAGCTTCCCAGTCTTGTGGGCTCATGAACCAGACACCTATTACACCCACACCCTTCGCTTTGGCCAATTGGGCAGCCTGCGATAAGCCTGTATTATCCCGTATCCGCAAATCCCTCTTGAACCAGTGAACCACGGCATCGCCAAATTGCGCCTTGTTTGTTTCCCGGATAGCCGTGCGCCTATCTTTTGTGCTCTCTAGCGTCTTTGCCAGTATTTCGATGGGCCGCGGTATCTCGTTTGCATTGTACAGGGCGCATCGCTCATTGCTCATCTCAGCAGGGTAGTAACGTCTGTCAACTATCCCTGCTCGCTCTTCTGGCCGCGAATGATCAAATTCGCCTTCACCTTCTTCTTCTTTCTTTACTGCCTCCCCAGGCGCTCCATTCTCAGTATTTCTCGCTATCGAATCTATCGGTGGCGCGCTGTCTGCGAAGGCTTTCGAAAGGGGTTTAGCAACGCGCGAGCGCTTGTTGGGTGCATCGCCGGATACATCGGTGTAGTTTCTTGCAGATGCTGCATTGGGTGGGATACTGGCTTTACGTTTTGGTGGCATCGTGGCTACCTAGGTAGTCTCTTCGCTGAAATGGCTGGGCAGTATGTAATGCGCGTGGAGGGGCTGACGCGTGGGATACTGTGGATCGGATGTCGCGAACGTGCGAATACCATGCGCATTCGAATAAAGAGGAATTGAGGCCATGGCTGCTCTACTTCCCTCGACGCGTTTAGCTTTCGCGTGTGTTTAGTACCGATCGATGACGCAGATAGTCCCTGAAACATGGAGGGTCCAGATCGATGTCAGATTAGCGAGCCAAGCCCTGCATGCAGCCTGCCACGCGACTTATGCATCACATATACTTCATTCTTCTATCCTCAAGAACAATGAGCGTATATACCCTAGGTGGGCAGCCAATACTTATCAAAGCATATCACCATCACCACTGAATTGCGCATAATCTTCTCAGGGGTACTGACAACTCCTAGTGCAATCTCAGGGGACATTATCGCGTACTCAAGACCAACTTCGCGCCCTATATCTACCTTGACGGGCAGTCGGTCGTAGCTATGAGTGTTATGCATTGCACAAGATTTCAGTTTCTCGTCTCCTGTTGCCACGACGATTACCAAGACTCGTGTCCACGTCGCCCTTTTCTCTTCACCGACTCAGTTCAAGGTTGCTCAATCTTGGCTTCCCCGCAGTTATACAGTCCTTTCAGAAGCCACATAGAGACTGTCCCAACAGGCCCGACTACGCACAACTGCTCCGGTGCCAATCCCACATTTCAAGCTGGATATGTTCTTTCCGCCCGCATATCGGACCGACTTCGTGCAATCTACTAATCCATCTTACAAACGAGCTCTTTGCATGCCGTCAAGTTCCGCTAGATGAATCTGAAGATGCCGTCGGCTTCTACAACAATGGTAGATATGCCGTCGGCATACATGGGGTAAATATACGTTCTATTCTGTCTCAATTCCTCTCTTGGCCCATATCAATCACTTTCTTCACCAGTCGAAGATGGCCAAGACCAACGCCCGATTATTGTTGCTACATCTTTTGGTGTGTCTGACAACTGCTTCCACTGTTCAACCAACTGTCAAAACAACAAATGGCACGCTGGTTGGAGTTAGAAATGCACAATACAACCAGGACTTCTTCTTAGGCATTCTGTATGCCCAACCGCCCATTGGAAATCTCAGATACAAGCGTCCCGAGCCCCTCCATCAGCCTTGGGAGCAGCAGAATGCTACCGAAACTGGCCCATGGTGCCATTCGTCGCCTCTTACGTTGCCCGTGTTCTCGCAGACCGGAAACTCTCACGAAGAAAGCGAAGACTGCTTAACGCTCAATATTGTACGGCCAGCCACTGCTCATAGCATCTCCAAGTTTCCTGTCCTTGTCTACATCCATGGTGGAGGTGTTCAGGAGGGCAGCGGCGCGGATCAGAGGTACAACATGTCTTTCCTGGTACAAGAATCAGTTGGCGCTGGAGCGCCGATCATTGGCATCACCATCAACTACCGACTTTCTGGCTTTGGCTTCCTATCTGGTAGCGCGCTACAAAAGTCCGGCGTTATGAACCTATGACTGCATGATTAACGAGCAGCACTTGGTTGGATACAGGATAATGTCGCCGCTTTTGGCGGTGATCCGTCTCGAGTAACAATACAAGGCGAATCTGCGGGTGCACTATCTGTCGGATATCACTTTCTCGCTTATGGGGGTCGTGACGATAGCCTTTTCCGCGCAGGCATAGCCTAAAGCGGTGGGCCGGCATCGATTGGTCGAGTTATAACTTTGCAACAACAAGATAGCCTCTACAATGACGTACTCCACCAGACAGGCTGTATCAACTCAACTGATACGCTTGACTGCTTGAGAGGTGCTCCTGTTGAAATGCTAAAGACTGCCTTCTAGGGCGTGTCATACTTTCCTGTTCAGGACGGAGACATGATCTCAGAAAATCCGTTTGTGGCTTTGAAAGAGGGAAGGTTTATACAGCGGCCTATACTTTCTGGTACAAACACCAATGAGGTAACTTCGTTCGCCATTAGCGAAGGCTTCAGTGTAAACAGCACCACCGAGTTTCGAGCGGCAGTCGCAAGATATTTTGATCAAGGCGTAGCCAACACATCTGTTGACGCTATAGCCACGGAGTACCTCGAGGGACCATCGCCAGAAGAGGTTCAGTCTTCGCTCGGCAGTGTACTGCCATCCCCCCGATCGAATTATGGAACTCTCTACGGAAGAGCTGCCTTGTTCAGAGGAGATCAACTATTTATCGCCGCAAGGCGCTTGAGTACCAAGATGTGGGCTAAATTCGGCATCCCCGCTTTCAGCTACCGTTTCGATACGGTGCCCAGTAGTGTTTCACCAGAGACTTTAGGTGCTGCTCATTTCGCGGATATTCCTTTTGTATTTTGCAACGTTGGTGGCGTTGGACATGAAGTCAACTTTCTTGCATCCAACGTCACAACGTCACAACGTCACGCGACCAGTACCTGGAACTCAGTAAGCGTATGAGCCTAATGTGGTTGAGCTTCGTCAACGAGCTCTCGCCAAATGCTCGTTTTGGTATGTGTACTAACGCTCGTAATTCTACAAACAGGTATTAACGAGGAACAGCACTGGATTCCGGTCTGATCTGGCCAGCATACACAAACAGAAGCGCTACAAACATGGTGTTCAGAAATCATGGTCTAAGTTTGGAAGATGGTACTTGGAGGGCTAGTGCGATCAGTCGCCTGAACAGCGCTTCTGCAGGCTCTGAAGCTTAGCAGATGGTGATTGTCAGGTCAATAGACTTGGTCTCATCTTCTGTGGAGAGCTGATGTGGACCACTGATCTTATGAGGCGGGTTCATGTTCACCTGCTTGTATTCACAATGCCTGCAACGTATGCTACTATATGCGCTCGTCCGGAGTCTTTGTCACTCCGCTACATGGAAACCCCACGTCGACTTCGTCATACCCTGGAAGTAAGCGCATGTAGCGTGATATCCTCGTGATAGAACGCGCACGTGTAGTAGTGACGGTGTGAGCTCAGTAAGACGGAGATTTCACCGGTCGGAGAGAGGATTGGAGCTTGGCTGAACATTATGTTGGTAATCTGGAATCCTCAGAGGTTGCTTACTTGCTTGCTGGGTTTGGAACCAGTTATCTAGTTCCAGTCATTTAGCTAGGTGTTATATAAGCAGTAGCACAGACGAAGCCCTTAAATTCTTGGTGGCGCTCCTGAAATTCGGCTCTGCTGCACTGCCATTGGCCCCCAAAGGCCTTCCACCTTAGCCGTTAGGGCGAGGCAGACATGATTGGGATACGAGTATGATGCCAGGACCAATGCCAGAGCTTCGCGAAGGCTCTCTATTTATGGCTGAGATAAGCCGCCGATCTCTGAGCGACCTGGGCTTTGGTGCTCCTAGCAGATGGCCATAGGAGCCGGCCGCGGTGGAGGAGCGTGGGCGATGGGAACGATGCGTCATCGCATGCCGCGACGAAGAGCGCAACTATCTAAGAAGGAAGACTAGAAGAGCGATGGTTACGAGCAGTAACGGTGTTGGCGTTGGCGCAAGGCAGCGGTAAGGACAGGTCGGCAGGTACAAGCCGCGTGTAGCGAATCTCAAGCGGGGGTCATCCATGCGCCATGCTGCAGTCGCGAACAGCCAAACGTCTCCCTTCCTAATTTCATCGCTACTGTCGCAATTTCCTCTTTCTCTCAAGTTTCGTCGCAGATGATCGAGGGCCTTATTATGGCCAACACCGCCATGGTGGCAACCTATAGTAAGCCTCCTTCTCGGCCCTACGAGGCGTCCCACGAACGGAAGTTCTAACCGTGCAAGCCAAACTACACCATGCCAGTTCCCCACGCACAGCCACTCACCTACGGCATTGCTCACGATGCGATCCGCTTGGTTGAAGCTAATGAGCAAGATCGAAGCCGACAGTAGGAAATGGCTCGCCTAATACACCCAGTTCAATTTCCCGTGTTGCCTGCGATGCTGCCTCGCACCTAGATACCGAAATGGGTCACTACTCAGAGACATGCGAGAAAGCTTAATTGAGCCTCATCAGGCTTCCCTCTGACTAAAAGAAGGCGTTGCTCCAATGAATGTTCTTGTACACTGCGTCGAGCGGGTCACGGCCACCAAACATAGCCCTTCATCCGAACTACACGTTCTGGCCGAACTTACAGCGTGGCTCTAGCGCGTCTTCAACTTGCAAACGACAAATCCTACTCGCTGCTGAAGAACTGAAAAGGATCATGGGGCCAAATCGAAAGAGTACAGTGCTGCTGGGAAGGCAGTGACTTCGGTCGTGAGTCGGTGGTCGATAGCTGGGAAAGCACAAAGCTCGTGCTGAGATGGAAGGCCTCATATCATATATAAGAGTCAGAATGAGAGACCCTCTGGGTCATATACATTATCGAAGCCATGGAGACCCCCGTTTCACCAGCTCTGACCATGCCCTCTATCCGACCCCATTCTAGCGCTATAAACAACATGGAGCATTCTTCTCTAGCCGATTTACATTCTTCTATAACTCTTCATGTTGTGTCCGTCCTCAAAACTCATGCTCTCCTTTGCGAATTCTACAGTCTACTCTGGCAGTCTGTCCGACCCGTCCAGTGCTCAAGTGAAATGTCTCATCGAAGAGAGATACGCGCAAACCCCACAGGACCAGGCCCCAGAACCGCCGCTCGTCAATATGGTCCCCCAGCCCCAGAACCGCCGGCAGCACCACCGTACGTATTGCATCCTTCCATATCAGCGCTCATTTATCATCGACCGAGTCATACCAACGTTTTGGCCGTTTCATTAACCAATTCCACCCAGAATCATCATCCTTTCCCAATCTGGCAAAGCACAAGCGCCCCACTTCCAGGTACCAGACCCTGCCGATCAGCAAGTCCAGCCGCGACCACCTACGTCATCCCTGTCGTACGTATGCACCCTTGCTAGAAACATCTATTATTGGTTCTCCTCTGTCTTTCAACTTTCTGACTCTCTACTCTATAGACTAGAAGCCTCACCAGACGAGCTTGAAGCTACCGAAACTTCGTGCCCACCCGACAAACCCGAGCCCGAACCGCATCCAGCACCGCCGTAAGTATCCAACCCATCCTAAAGCATGCATGCGACGTGTCGCGAACGTCCAGGCACGATCGTCACGCAGCATAAACATTAACCCAACCCCAGTGTAATCATCCTACGCGACGAAACACTCAGTTCGTCCCCACCAGCCTCCGCGCCACCCACTTATCCCGCTACAACACACACACCCCCTACGATGGGCTCCAAAGTCAGCAAAGTCAAAGAGCAAGCCTCGAACGGGAAGCTTCAGCCAAGCCAAGAGCGTCTAGACAAGGAAGAGATGAAGGAGCCAGACAATTATTACACACATCGCAGCAAGAGCATGCGTCGGAAAGCTGGCAAGACTGGAGCTAGCAGTGGCGCTGGAGGTGCGCAGGGCGGAACGGCTGGAGGTGCTGGTGGTGCTGGTATTGCATAAATGTTCAGACAGCAATTTTTTCTTGGGTCACAGAATAAGAAGTTGCATGCAAGGTGGAGGCAGATTGACAACAACCGGTAGACAAGGGCATGGCTTGGGGGCGTTCAGGGTTGCTTTTTTCCGGGAATGTAGCATAGCAACGCATTTACATGAGAATTTCACCTCTTGATCATCGCATGATAGGTGGGTCTCTTTGAGTGGTAACCTTGGTTACTTTATCACAGCGCGAAGACTACTTTTGCGAATGAATACATTACATTACTCAAATCTTCTATCATAGTTCAGCCCCTACCATCTTCAACACCTAATGCATGGTTGCATTTCCACCACCAACACGATAGCTCTCAGGTGGACCGTTGTGGCTGTATACAACTCCACCCAGATCTAACACGACCTTCTGCAGGATAACGTTGGCCTCGACTAACCAAAGCTTCAAAGTGTGTTTTCCGGGAGCAAGCTCGCCATGGTTGGTAGTGTTATACCACGCACTGTCCGCAACAGCCTTGCCCCAGCCAACGGGGAAGTTGGGCTGAGGCTGGTCAATGACGAACTCGCGACGCGCCTCCGTCTTGTTGTCGACTTGTGCGATGTACGCGAGGGGTACCTTAGGGTTGATGTTGTGGGTAGGTGTAAGAATAAGAGTGACGTTGAGCCCCTTGGCGGATGTTGTAGGAGTGAAGGTGACGAAGTCATACTCTAGACTTGGAGCACTGGAGGAGTCTAGGCCTTCGGCGAGGTTGTCTGTGAGCTTCACACCAGAAAGGGTGCGTCCGTACTTGGGCAGAACCTGGTAAGAATGATCGGATGAACCAGGGGTTGTGCGCGTGTAGTGTTCTGCTTCGAAGGCGAGCTGGCCAGCTGACTCGACGAAGCCAGCGTTGAAGTCTTCTGGAATGGAGGTCTTGTTGACCATGACCATGACTTGTGGGTTGCCACCCTGAGTACCGTAGTCGGTCGAGCTGGAGAAGTTCAGCTTGCTTTGAGCACCGAAGCCGTCTTCGACCTTGCTCCAATCGACATCAACATAAATGCGGATGTCCTCATCGTTGGGCTGCATGGTTCCTTTGACTTGAGAGAGCGTGACGAAAGGATCGACGCTGATGTTCCACGAGAATGGTCCAGTACCACGGTGAGAGATCTCAACCCATCGCTTCGGGGTGAAGGGAGTCATAGCCGGAAGAGTCAAAGAGGATGCACCATTACCGTGCCACATGTCGTCACCAGGAATGGTAGCGTTGGAGCCTTCGACCGAGACACCCATATCGCCTGCTAGCGAACGTTCCTGAGTTTGCACCCAACGAAGGTCAGGAGTAGATTGGCGCATAGGTTGTTGCCTGTTATGATATCAGTATGAGAACAACTGACAGAAAATGTACCGAGACTTACCAGTATCCTTGGTAGCCCAAATGGGTTTGGTCCATCATGTGGTCCCACTTGCCATTGAGCTGAGTGTGGTAGAGCCTCGTAAGGTTGTGGTCCTTGTTCATGCCATCAATCACACGCTGCATCCATCTGTTCGCGCTATTGCGACCCATTTGCGCGTAGATGATATTCCTGGCGCCGGAGACTTGTACATCGACATGATTGCCACCAGCAAGCACGCGATGGAGGATGATCTCGTAGAAAGCGGGTTGTTGCTCGGGAGAAAGTGCAGCGTTAACTTCGTTGGCTCGGTCTGCGAGAGCCTCCCACCGCGCAAGAATGTGATCAGCTTCCTCGTAGTTGAGTACACTAAAGGAAGAGGGCTCAACCCATTCAAACTTGCGCATGTTGGCGAGGAAACCATACTCATCCATGATTTCTGCGATGGTCTCAGCATGTTCTTCGCCAAAGTTGCGGGCAGCGAATCCGGCAAGCCACTCAGGCACAGACGACTCGTCGTAAGAGTCCATGTCGTAAGCGATATCGAACCAATGGCTGATGGCGATCTCAGCAGGCTTGATGTCACCAACATTGACGATCCAGATACGGTCAGCCTCGCGGTCCTTGGCCAACTTCATCTGCTCATATGTTTTCTGGAGTTGGATGGTATCCTGCCACTTGAAGTTACGAGAGTCACCGACGTAATCAAAGTGGTAGTAGACACCAGCACCACCGGATCGCTTCTTCTCGTCGCCGACTGGGAGACGGCGAATGTTTTGCCAGTTGTCTTCGGTCCAGAGGAGGGTGACCCAGTCGGGAACCTGCATTCCAGCTTCAAAGTAATCCTGAACTTCCTTGTACAAGCACCACATCTGGGGTACTTCAGACGCATTTCCATGGATTTTGTTGAGAATGTCTTGCTGAGCATCAACAACAGCCTCAAGGACCGAGGTTTGAACATCGGAGGACATTGCTGTGTCGTGATATCCGCGCATGCCTACTGTGACGACATTCTCATATGGCGCAGCGCGCTCGGCACCCTCGTAGAAGTAGTCGTAAAGAGTGGCGTTGTTGGTAGCCCAAGACCAGCCAGATTCAGCACCCTTGGCGACTTTGCTCCATTCCTGAGTGGCGCGGACCATGGGCTCGGTATGCGACGTGCCCATCACGATACCATACTCATCGGCCAACGGCTGGTTGCGTGCGTCGTCCACGTTGAACATGCCGTTCCACATAGCCGGCCAGAGGTAGTTGGCCTTGGATCTGAGCAGCAGTTCGAAAACCTTGGAGTAGAATTGTGCTCCAAAAGGTGCGCCATATGGAGACAAAGGATACCGGTCATTTGCCCAACCGGTCAGGGCTGGTGCTTCGTCGTTGATGAAGAATCCTCGGTACTTCACGGATGGTGTCTTCTGGACTTTTGTCGTTTGAAGCAGGTAAATAGAATCGTGTTTCTTCGCGGGTACATCAGCGAACCAATGCCATGGGGAGACACCGATCTGCTCAGATACATCGTAGATACCATAGATGGCACCACGGCGATCGCTGCCTACAAAGGGTTAGCATTCGGCATCTATGATGGCCATGTTATACATACCAGCAATGACGAGCGCGTCACCAGTCATATTTCCAACACCATGTACTACAGTGCTAACATAGGACTCCCATTGACCTTCAACCCCGCTAACATCAAGCTGTCCGCTTGATATCAAGTCATCGATCAGACTTGAGTTACCAATGGTACCCACAATGATAGTTCCTCCGGTAGCACTAGAAGCAGTACTGCCGCTAACGCTCCAATCATCGCTGATGCCAGTGACATTGAAGATCATCGAAGCATTGGCTGTTGCCGTTCCAGAAGCTGTGAGTGTTCCATTGGTACCGGTAACACGTCCGAAGTCGATAGCAAGGTCGTGGGCGGCGCGTAAAACACCAGGCCAATCCGCAGCATCAGCATGGATACTGACTGGTGAGCCACGAGAGGCAAGAAGAGTTCCATTGCCGGCTGAGGTTGTGACAGTGGGCTTGCGGAAGGCTTCAACAGCGGAAGCAGATCCAGCAAAGGCGACCGAGAGCGAAAGGGCGCCGACCACGGTGCGAGAGAGGAGCTCCATGATGCTTGGTCAGTAGTTGAGCAACGTCCTGAACAATGCCAGAAGGCTCGCGGAGATACCCTGCTTTTGAATGCTTCCCCAGACCATCGCCTCGTGATAGAGGCCCTTGCCCCCGTAACCAAGATTCTCCACCAACCTATTCCTTTAATCAACTAGTAATCGTGCATATCGTAAATCACCTACCCATCAAGTACCTAGCAACTGCAAATCCAGGTACGCATGCGGTGCTGGCCAACGACGGCCCGATATGACAAACCCTAGTCGTTTACCCCAGCCGGGACCGGTTGTTCTGCATGGCTAAATTGAGGTGACGTACAGCAGCCAGTCGCGTTCTAGCTGCAAGACTTCTAGAAGAGCGTTTAATGTGTCTTGGCGGTAAGTCTGGGTACACGTGCAGCATGCAAATATCCGGATCCTTGCAGAACACATGGAAGGTCAGTATAGGTGGAGATGCGCAATTGAGTGATGTTTGACAGGAATCCAGACATGCGGATGTCATGTCTAGGATGCTGAGACGACGGCGAAATTGTTCCGTGTAGCCTCGCCGTCGCCCGACGCCGTCACCAGCATGTCAAGGCCTGAAGCTCTTCCAGGAGCGGAGATTTGCATCAAGGGCGCAGGCGGAGGCTTGGAAAACGGGTCCTCGGCCTCAAGGAGAGTCTCCCCACGTTGGGTGAAAAGGCTAAATGCACTCCCCCGCAAAGGACCATGCCCATGTCAGCTAGCGCAGCGGCAACGCCAAGGATCGCGAAAAATGTTGGAAAGCGCGACTTTCAATTATCCAAAGCAGCCGTCTTCGCCCTACACCGCAACCAAGTCCTAGTGGAGATCTCGCGGCTCGTACTATCGTTGTGATTAGTCTTCGGATTCCAATCACCCGAACAAGCTCTGTTCCGATCCGATTCGACAAGAATAGACTTTGCGCAAGCCTCCGCCCGCCTCTCTGCCCCACGCCTCACAACCTGACCTCCGCAATGGCTCAAGGTGCCGTCAAGAAATCCAAGGCCGCTGCTCCGAAGAAGTAAGTCTAGCTCCGCGCTCGACCTCCCACGCGCTCCTGCTGACAACATGCTTCCAGACCAACCCAGCGAGTCCAACGCGGCGCCCGTATCATTAAGCCCAAAAATGCCGCGATAATAAAGCAAAACAAGATTGTGCACAAGAGCAGCTCTGGACTGATAGGACAGACCGAGAAGCTCCTCGCGCAAAAAGCCGGACATCTGGAAATTCTCAAGGGAGGAAAGAAGGACAAGAAGGAAGGCGGTGACAAGAAGAAGTCTGGTTGAAAAGTCACCATGGTACCACCAAGTATTTGGCGAGGCGCAGAAACTTGTCGCCGTGCAGATCCAAAAGCTCAGCATAAACAGCAGGACTCAGACGTATAAGGGACTTTGCATGCGATAAGTGTGGTCAGCAGTATGGAACCACGAGCCTGGTGTGATGCTATCGTGTAACCCAAGACAGGCCCCAAGTGGCTACCTGCGAAAATCGACGGCACAAGGTACACTTGGACATAATGTGGGA